TCCTGATAGTAAAGAATTACAATAGTCCAGCCTTGAAGTAACAAATGCATGGACTAGGTTCTCAGCAGGATAATTCTAATTTCTGCAATATTGAGCAGATGAAATAAGGAAGTTCTATAAACGTCTTTGATATGGGATAGAAATGACAGGTCGTGATCAAAAATAACACCAAGATTTCTTATTTTATTTTCAGAAATCAGTTTAATCCCATCTAAATGAAGTGACTGACTAATTAGCTTCTTTTTCAAATAAAATGTAGAAGTGGTCATTCTCTTAAACATCTGAGTTTTCTTTTCTGTCAAGATGATCTTTCCATAACAAAAAGGGTGAAATATATTTTTCTACAATATTGAATAAAAAAATTGTACATTATTATATTTGAACAATTTATTGTTCCAGATGGATTAAATACTGACTGAAAAAGATCATCTTTTCTTACACATTACTCAACTTATTTATCTTATGTCAGAACATATTCATGTTAATTTATAAAAAGTTAACCTTTTGGGTTTCAGAATAAAGAAAAATGATTAAAATTTGTGAAACAATTATCATTTCCTATATACATTGATCTATATCTATAATTTAGGGATGGGGTATGTCGCTCTGACATACTGTCTGTTTTCAGCTCAATGTTTAAATGAAGTAGATGCTAACTCTGATGTAGCTTTCTTTTAGTTCTCCTTTAGTGTAATCCATCAGTCAGTGAATGGATACACTGTGCCTTTAGCATCACTTTTAAATGGCTGGTGCTTGATCTGCTTGCTCTCAGAGGAATATAAATCCTGGCTCTGAAGTGCATTAACACACAACAGCCTTCTCTATCCACTGTGCAGCATCTATTTTTCTATAATGTTACAAATGATTTCTGCATACCTGTCATTATTTGGATTTGAAAATAAGGGAAATTTTATGGCAGGTGCTGTAAGCCATCTGACTCCCCCAGTCTAACTCCAGTATATTCAAAGACAAGTTCAAAGGAAATCTAAAATAACCACCTGTCAACCAATTGCAAACTACAGTTAGGTGATTAGTTTTTTACTCTAGATGCTAGCAACACATCCACTTTAAGAGGCAGATAAATGTTTTTTTTATTATAATATGGGGAATTGGTAGGTACTTGGGAAAGTGGAAAAAGAGGTAAAATACAATAGTTTACCAGCTAAAACAGGAGACCTGACAGCAATGGTTTGATCATGTCCTCCACCTTTTTGTCCTTACTTCCTGGCCTTCTGAGCACAACAGAGATTTTGCGCTGCTCCTCCATGCAGCATGGCTGAATGGGCTGATTTAAGTGATAAACATACTGAAACAGTATGAGTAATGATAATCCTCTGTTTATATTTACAAACAGAACTGCATAAAGATAATTGTAGATCCTTGTCGCTCTACTTAAGAATGGCCCTCTAGTGGATGGTAGCAACTCTACAACACTGTAATTAATAATCAATTAATGGGGTGGATCAAATTTTAATCTACAAAACCATCAACCGATGATTAATTGTACCTTTCTTTACATCCATGGTAGATCTCTATAGCTAATTTTCTCTCATGTGGTACTCCCCCTAGTGGAGTTGTGTAGTAACAGATTGACATTAACTGATTTGGTTCCTTATCTAAACTCTTAAAGCTCCATGAGGAATTGAAGCTGCTCTTTGGCTTAAATGTCATTGAAAACGGTCTCTTGATGTTGCCTGAAGATTGATTAGTTGTGTCTGGACTTCTTGCCACTGATGTGTCCCTCGTCTTCCTCTCCTGTCTCTCTGTCAACCTGTCATTCTTCTCTACCTGCCTTTATCTGTCTGTGTGTCAGTCGGCGTCTTTCAGCAGCGTTACTGACTCCACCATGTCGCTCAATATCATCACTGTAACCCTCAACATGGGTGAGTACTGACTAGGTCAGCAACAGTCTGGATCATTCCACCATTGTCAGCGTCAAGTCCAACAGAGTCCACAACTGCTCCCAATAGACTAGATAAGAGCAAACAGAATCTAGAACTGGTAGAAAGCAATCGGACAGCCTTGGTCACAATCCAGACATAATAGGTTCAAATCTATTATGTTCTATTAAAGTCTGAACCAGGTCTGAAACTATCTGGATCCTGTCCGCCACATTCAATATCTATTCAGTATAGATGCAGCCCAGTAAGGGTTTTTTTACTGTGTAGATCATATCAGAGTTCAGAACAGGCCATAGACTGCCCAGATGGGGTTCATGATAGACCAACACTTTTCCACTGGTTCAATTTGTATCCTAGATAATATCCAAATTGGACAATATCCGTTTCAGTGCAACCAGTTCAACAACAATAGCGACTGAACGCTGTAGGGCCTAAATCGGATCTGGTAGAGTTCTGAACAGGCCAAAAATGTTGGGGATCAGTTCCAGTAGGACTTAGTTCAAAAAGAATCTTGATCAGTGTTAGCAGGATAATTATCCGGCCCTCAACAGCCTTGGTCTGGTCCACAATAGAAAGGAAAGGGTTTTTCCTCACACAGAATGCCCGAATTTGTTTGCTTTGAAGCCAGTGAGCCCCAGAACTGACTGGGTTCGGTACATACTGATTCCGACTGGACCGCGATCTGATAATATCATTTCAAAATCCAGTTCAGAGTTTGTCCCGAACTTTAACAACTGTTCTATGGGATTAAATCCAATGATGTTTTTACTGATGCTGCATGTTCCTCAGAGCGGTATAACTTCCTGGGTATCAGCATCGTGGGTCAGAGTAACGACAGAGGAGACGGAGGGATTTATATCGGCTCCATCATGAAGGGAGGCGCCGTTGCTGCGGATGGACGCATCGAGCCCGGAGACATGCTGCTGCAGGTGCCGCCAACACTGTCGCCACTCATGCTGCTGAGGATGAGCAAAGCTTAGAGTCTCTCAAGCTCTCTGGGCCAGCAACAGAAATGTTTAGCTTTATTGATTCTCTGTGTTGTTCTTTTCCATCAGGTTAATGATATCAACTTTGAGAACATGAGTAATGACGACGCCGTCCGAGTTCTGAGGGAGATCGTCCACCAACCAGGGTGAGGTTCTTAAAAATGGAATTGCCTGAGATTCTGGACAGCAGTTTGTCCTCTTCTGTTCTGGAACTCAGGAAGTTTTTATCATGCTGGATCTTTAGAGACTCAAACTGTGCTTGTATCTCCTTGCTTTTAGTTCAGTGACATTAACTGTGGCTAAGTGCTGGGATCCAAACCCACGAAGCTGCTTCACACTGCCAAGAAGTAAGTCGTGCCCGGATGTTTGGGTTGGTATGAGTCTGGCTTGCTAAAACACATCATGTCCTTTGTCTAAAAACCTGCAGGTGAACCAGTGCGTCCCATTGACCCGGCTGCGTGGGTGTCCCACACGGCCGCCATGACTGGGAAGCTCCCCCCACATTACAGTACGTCCCCAATCTGCAGCATTCCTCCACTGTTGACCTGTCCATCACACACAGCTTCATGTCCTCCAGGCGTTCACGAAGAAAATCAGCTCAGCATCCACAGTGACATGACAGTGATTGTCAAGGCCATGGCCAATCCAGAGTCAGGGTTGGAGGTTCGAGACAGGATGTGGCTGAAGATCACCATTCCCAACGCTTTCATAGGTGATGTGTATTATTTGATTGTCTTATGTAGAAAGGTTCTATTTATGCTAAATTCATTCACTCTCAAACTGCATCTTATCCTGCAGGTTCAGACGTGGTGGACTGGCTCCACCGTAACGTCGAAGGTTTTACTGACCGACGGGAAGCTCGGAAGTACGCCGGAAACCTTCTAAAGGCCGGATTCATCAGACACACTGTCAACAAGGTCACCTTCTCTGAGCAGTGCTACTATGTGTTCGGAGACCTGTGTGGAGGTGAGGATAGAAAGGTTGGAGCTTATGACCACACTGAGGGACATAGCTGTAGTTAGGAAACAGATCCAACTCAAGTGGATTAATGGAGCAACTCTGAACATGTCTGAGATGTTTTTTAAGAGAAAATGATAGAACTACACGAACAATAACCCAAAAGAACAAGTTTACATCATAGTTACAATTCTCCAGTCACTCAGCAGGCAATAAAAAACAATAAATGTGAACCTTTAATAAAGTACTCTCTAGATGTGGTCATCCCAGTTCATATGTTCCCTTGTATCAACTAAATGGTTCCTAATAGGCTTCTTTAGAACTTTATCACATACTGAGGAGGTAATTCAACCATTTGTATTTAAAGCAGGCAAGGTGTTAGCCTCCTAACCTAGGAATAAGCAGGTCATCAAGTATTTAATGTGCTGAACTACTAGTTTCAGAAACGGTAGTCGATATAGTAACACTGAACACCAACTGGATGTTGGATGGTTGAACTGTTTAACTTCATTGCTAGAGTTGCATGATAGAAATTTAAAGAACAAGGATTTTTTTTAAAGATTCTGAACTCTAGCGTAGTCTGAAAGATAGTTTCAAAACAACTGAAGACATAAACAGTTAAAAGTGGATTCCTTAAAGCTGCTCCTCCTGCTTTCAGATCTAGCTGCAATGTCTCTGCTCGACCATGAAGAAGGGTCCAACCACGAAGGAGGAGGAGGACCCAACTGTGACCCGCCAGCCTTTCCTTATCAGTATCCCATACCGCACCCCTACAGCTCACCTCACCTGCTACATCAGCTGCCGGCTTGCGAAGCAGGAGGAGAAAGAAGTCATCATAGCGGAGGTGAAGGATATGTTTCCTATTTCTTCTTTACAGTTGTTTCAGTTTTTGTATGGCTTGTTTTCTTTATTAACTGTAATCAGTCAGAAGAAGGGGAAGACCATTGGTCTTTCACAGTGCAGGGCCACATGAGGCCATTAAAACACTTTGTGTGTCACACTGAATTCAAAAGAAAGGACTGAGTAAAAAAAAAAATGCTGTGTTTTAAGGTTACTGTGTCTATAACAAAAGAAAGAAAAACTATCTAATAAAATTAGTTTTCTTTGTTTATAAAAGCAAATATATCAGACTGATTAGAAAAGATAAATACATTAACACAGGGATGTCAAACTGGTTCCAGAAAGGGCCGTGTGGCTGCAGGTTTTCTTTCCAACCAAGAAATAGCACACCAGACTCCATTCATCTCATTAAGTCATCATGTGGACTAACTCAAGACTAGACTCACTTGATGAGATGAATGGAGTCTGGTGTGCTATTGCTTGGTTGGAAAGAAAACCTGCAGCCACTCGGCCCTTTCTGGAACCAGTTTGACACCCCTGCATTAACATCATATATTATATAGCTTGTTTAGTTTTAAAAGCAGAATCTGAAATTCTAAAGTCAAATAAGTGGACTGAAAAAGTTCACCAAGTTCAATGCTGCAAAGATAGAAGTAAGTGAGCCAAGTTATGGTAAAGTGCGTAACGTTAGAGATTGAACTAAGAAATACAGCAGAATGGGAGAATAGAGATAGAATGAAGCAGAAACCAGAAAGGGGGGCCCTTTGTCCTCCAACAATCTAAGCCTATAGCAGCATAACTATAGAGATAGTTCAGGAAAACCTGAGCCACTCTAATCCACAGATTCCACCGCTCCGCCCCGCCCTGCTCATGTACGTCATGCAGAGCACTTGTGCAGTCATGGTAATCAATGAGAACTGTTCCACATCCACCGCTGCTACTCTGCTCGTCACTGTCGACGTACGTCTTCTCCGTTTTTGCTCCACTCCGGTCCATTGAAAGCCGGTCAGGTCAAGATCCACAATTGCAATTACACCAAACAGGAAAGAAAAACCTTGAGAAGATCCAGTTTGTCAAATAAAATATGGTATCGACAGATCAGTAATAACAAATTAGAGCATAATTCCTATATATTCCCAAAAGCGAACACCTTTTATTTAAATTATTGGATGCAAACTATCAGTACTTCAACATACCAGGAAGATCATTTCTCAACTCGATCAAAATATTTATGTTACAAGTTTAATCAAATCTGGTCACAACAGCTTTCAGGAGCACATCTCACAACTTCATATCACAGGCATGGATGAAGAGATGCTGAGTTTGGAAGTAGAGAACAAACCAATTTTGTATGATCCTAATTATCCCTACTACAAAGAAACCCACAACGAAAATAATTTTTTGACTAGAAATGTGTGATTCATGCTTACAGTGAGTTTTAATTATGTTACATTAAATTAAGCATTCATTTCTCAATGTTTTGGTCCTACAAATTAATTAATAATAATAATTTCAATTCAGTTTATTTATATAGCGCCAATTCACAACACAAGGCACTTTACAGTTCACCAGATCATACAGTCATTTCATGCATTCTCGAGCTCCAGGGAAGTCGGAGCGAAGTGAGACAGGAGGAACCACGGAGGCTGAAGGTTTTGCTTTGCGCAGGCGGTCTGAAGCGCAGGGGAGGGGAAGAGGTTGTTTATGTAGGAAGTGTGATCTCAGGGTAACTATAAGCTTTATCAAACAGGAAAGTTTTAAGGCCGACCTTAAAAGTAGACAAGGCGTCTGCCTCACAGACTAAAACTGGTGGTTGTTTGCACCTGAGATGAGCCTGATAACAAAAAAAATCTGCCTTCCATCCTACTTAGGCTGATTTAAACCAGTCTAATGCTGTTCCTTTAATTCCTAAAATATGTTCAAACCTTTTTAAAACAACATTATGATCAACTGTATCAAATGCAGCACTGAGCTCTAACAGTGCTGTTACAAGATTCAAATCTATTATATAAGACCATGAGAATACCATTAGTGACTTTCACCAGTGCTGTTTTAATGCTATGAAAAATCTATATGCTATGAACTCTAAAACCTGTTTGAAACAAAGTTCATTGTGGTTTAAGTGGTCACACAGTTGTTTATCAACTACTTTCTCAAGAATTTTAGATAGGAAAGGACGATTAGATATAGGTCTATAATTGACCAAGTCATCTGAGTCAAGAGACTCAGAGAAAAGGTTTATTGCAGCTTCCCCTGAGGTATGTAACCCTGTAACAAGATTAATCATATCTACAATTATTTAAGTTTTCCTTTTATGGAGACATACACATTAAACATAACACAGAGAAATAAAATACAGAAAAACCACCCCTATCCACCCACCTCATATCTCTTCCCGGCAAGTACAAAGCACATTCTGCAAATGTGCTCAATGAGTTGATGCAATCAACTGATTTTCCTTAGATAGAAAACTTTGAATCAATTTGACTGTACGATCTGTTGAACTGTAAATTGCCTTGAGATAAAATGTGTTGTGAATTGGCGCTATAAAAAATAAACTGAATTGAAACTGAATGCTGTCTCTCCGAATCAGACCAGGTTTTCCCCAAAAAAAGAAAGCCAATTATCAATGTAGCACTCATTGTCTTCACTACCTAGACAACCAGCGGTTGAATGATGACATTTGGCTAAACATGTCTTCACTGGTCAGATCAGGGAGGGGACCATAGTGTCCAACATTGTTTGGAAAGCTTACACACCAAAGCAACACTAATTTCATTGACGTCCAATGGGCATTACTGGTATTATTACCCCCAGTGTGAATAACAATGGCACCATATTAAACCTTATCCTTAACCAGCGGTTTCAGGTAGGATTAGATGTCGCCTGTTCTGGCCCCCAGCAAACATTATCCTGTGGTCCCTTTTGTCTCTCTCTAATGCCACTTTTATCATTAAGGAACTGCCAAATGCCAGAGTGGGGTTTCCCGTGGATGCGTCACTGTGTGGGGAAAATCTGTTAGAAACCTAGAAGGGTTGGTGGGCAAAGATCCAGGACTAACCTTTTTGCGTACCGCCACAAACAGCTTCCTGGCTGGGCAGGACTGTTTGAGTTAGAGTGGACGAGACTGTGGTATTGGTGGCTCTGAGCTGTTAACTATTGGGCCTGTTTTACCTTCTGGATGTTCTAAGGTTCGAATCCGGGACTCTAACTCTGACACCATCGCCTCCAAAGCGACAAAAATACTACACTTAATACACACCATTATCGCTAAAGGAAGCAGAGAACATGTGACGCAGAGCAGGAGAAAGGAGAGGGAGTTTTAGAAAGAGTCTGAAAAGAGTCAGGGCAAGTGCTAGGCTAAGCTAGCACTTGCCTATGGATGTGCCCAGTAGAAAAGTGCACACGTAGAGGCTGTGTTTAAAAGTGCTTCCTGAGAGTTAGAGTAACTTAGATATTTTATACAAAAGACAATTAAGCTCAGACATAGAGATCCTGAGCGGCACCACAGAAAATAGGTCAGCAGTCAGAACAGAAAGTTAGACAATATTGTCTCACCAACAGCAGCAGCATCCTCTGGTCATAAAAAAGCTAGGTCCTTTTGCTAATGCGGGAACAACTGAACAACATTGTTGGGCACTTCTTGTTTTATAGATTTTTTCTTCTATTTTAAATGTTTTACTGACCATCTGGGAAGGACATTTCAATGCACCATGATTATTACTAGCATTGGGCAGGCTGTCCATTTCCTTTTCAGTTGCAAGCACCAGGCACTCTGAGGGGAGTGAGTATGAGTTACAGTATAGAGGCTGAAGGCGATTGGAGCATAGTCATATATAACAAGCAGGGGCCTCATTGGCCGCTATTGCCCATTGGTTCTGTCAAGCTGTAGTGCTGCCATCTTGAAAAGGATAGCCGGTCCATTCAGTATTAGTGTTTCTGACAGACCCAATAAAGTATGTTGGCATTTAATTAATCATAAATTGCTAAAAAATACTTTCTTTTTGTGCTGCAAACCTTCTAAATACAGCTTTCAAGCTACACAATAGGACACATGGTCCAGCGTATTTGAATATTGTTGATTGATTTAAACAATAAGAATATTCAGATAACAGTATAGGTAGACAGAGCAAATGATACATTTATATATCTTTTTTTAATTGTTAATATGTCTATACCTATTTATTGCAATATATAAATGCGTCCAATGATAAAAATATATTACAGAAATGCATACATTATAGAATAATGTTTAACATTGAAGAATATATGTGTATGTGTGGATGTAATTCTGATTGATTGCAGACCGTTACCTAACCCCATTGTCCCCACTGGGATGGATAGGTAACACTGTTTCCTGTTTGAAATGATGACATCACAATTCTCTTCATCCTGCAGGAAGTCGCAGCAGCCAATCAGACTTCAGCGATGATCAGAAAGAGGGGAAAGGAATAACCCAGAAAGAAACTGCCAAACATGAAGCGAACATTCAGGACATGATGGCAGACTGCCTGAGTGATGGAAGTGCTCAGGGACCGCCCACTCACTTCTCTGGTTCCCATGGCGACAAAGACACCCTGCCTGCATCTCAAGGTCAGCACAACAACTTTTCATCAATCCAACCGGAAATCTCTCGACAGTCTTTCCGCCTGGCCATGGGAAACCCTAGCGACCTCTTTGTGGATGTCATGTGACCGACGTTAATAATGGCGTTAACGATATCATGTCCATTTAGGTGACCTGGAGACATGTTAAATAAGGCAAAGGATTTTTTTTGTTTTTACTTAAGCTGAAATGAGAGAAAAACTTAAGGCACATTCAATCACTGTGAAGAGCTGATTCTAAGGAAGGCCTGGATCTGACAAAGACCTGGACCTTACAGGAACTAGAACAAGAACTGGAACCAGACCTGGATCTAACAAAAATGTAGATGTTAAAACACCTGAAGCTGAACGATATGATCCTGGATCCGACTCCTCAGATCTGGATTCAACTCAGATCTGGATCGGACTCAGACCTGGATCTAATTCAGGCCTGGATCTGACTCAGATCTGGATCTGGATCTGACTC